GTGAGTAATAAGAATGCCTGGATATCTGCATTTCTAGAAGAAGATACGGCTGTCTAGAACATTAAAATTGAAACACCACTTGTTAAGATTAAAGAAGACAGAGTGAATCCTGAACCAAGAATGACAGTAAATAAAATTGTAGAGAAATTCCTTAAGTAATTATCATCCATGACATGTCTTCAGTTACTTCCATAACAGCTGTAAGATCATTATCTTAGTTGTGACTTATCTGTTCATCCATTTGTTTATATGAAGATCATCAATATGATATCCAAGCACTAATAAACCTTAGCATTAAAAGGTTGTGTGTAATTCCCTAAGAGGAAAAAGTTCAAAAGGTGCCAGCCACTCTGGATCTGAGCAATATTCTGAGCAATTTTTATGGAATTTATTTTCAATAATTTCGGCCACAAACTGTCCATCTATTTTCAGGAGAAGGATTATGGAAAATGGTCTATGGAACAGCAAAATGATAGTAGTATGAAAGCTAGACTAAGTCCACAACAAGAAGAACTTTTGTAACCCAAATAGATATCAACATGGCAGTATTGCAAGTTAAATATTTTTTAGGATTACATGTTCTTTGGTGATGCCTTTAGACTTCTGTTTCAAGATTGTATAACTTCCTAAATGATTTAAATAAACAGCCCCAAAACAAGTATTATCTTTATAGACCACAGCCATGGACTATCTGTAAGCTACTAAACACAGAATTAGTTTAACTTCTCTATATAGGACAAGAATGAGGTTTACCTGTCACTAAATTCTCCAGAGAGCATTTATATGGTATCCAACTTTACACTTGTGAATCAATTAATTTTCTAACTCCTCTCTCTATAGACAGAATTCCTGTGTGCACATATTTGTATGTAAAATTTTAGGTTTTTGATTTCTGTCCATATTTCCTCCTTTGACATAGTGTGTGGTTATCACTGGGACAAGGACTTCCCTAATACATAGTAAAATGGGATAGTTTACAATGGCAAATGGGTTTTTAGTGATAGTTTTATCAAGAGGTCATGTGCAGTTTGTGGTTTTCTTTTATAGTAGGCTGATGAATTCTTTTTTTTGTACCTTGTTATAGTTAGTCTGAAATTTCCTTAAGCATTGTTCTATTACATATTCCCTGTAAGTAAGAAAAATGTGTATAATTAAGAGTGTGTATTTCTCTTGTGTTTTGTATAATCAAATGAGTTTTCATTCTTTGTTTTCAAAAACCACATTTTACTTACACATAAAGGTGAAGTCTGTCAGCATATATTTTCTCAAAGAGCCTAATGAATTAAAGACCAGACTAGCTGAAAAAATCAGCTCTAACTCAGTCACTAAATTACAGGCTTGGGGTTGAGTGTAAATGTGAATTGATACACATCAGGAAAACAACAGAACTGCAACAGCACCTCTAGTTAAAATGTTTTCCTGCAAAAAAAATCTGCATTCATACCAATTCAGAACTGTAGCATTGCAAAATTGATTTTTATTTATATATTAATAAAATCAATAAAACATTTGGAGTAATATAATCTTTAAATCTTCCTTTTGTTTTGTTAATTATTTGTGATAATTCACAGTCTAATCAACTAGTTCAATCTTACCCGTTTTCTTGATTCCAATAGGATGCAAATAACTTCCTTAGATGTCTTCAGCTCACAGTCAGTCCTACAGAGATCAGACAACTGAAAAGAAGCTGTATCTTCTCCTGTATGTTTTGGAAACATGGAGATTTTTAGACTTTATCTTGCTGTATTCCTTGTAATGAATGACTTTGTAATCCTGCATCTTAGAACTTTAATCTTAGAACTGCTTTGGTGCGTGCACACATTAGCCATGGCAGAAGGTCAGGGCAGCGCAGCAGCCAAGGTGGGGCCTGGGGAACCCCTGCTCTGCCACTGCCTGTGAATGCTGGGGTGCAGGGGGCTGGCACTACCCGGTGTGTGGTGGGCAGCCACATGGCATTTTAGCCTCCAAATGATTCACTGAGGTCTGGTGGAATCTGCAGGGACACCCTGAGGATGAGAGGACTGATGGCACCAGCCATCACTGCAGGGGGCTGTGCATGGGAGGTAGGGCTAAGGCAATAACCTGGTGCCACACTTAACTGGTGGACAGGCATCGTGGGTGAGTGGAGAAAGGCTGAGTAAGAGAGGTTCAGAGGTGCACTCTTTGAAGATCCCAGTAAAACTAAGGAGGGATGCAGGGTAGTTTACATGCAAACTGACAAAACATTTCACCCAATGGAAAATAAGATACTATTCTGGGGTAGGGTGAGGAGCAAAATTTAATACAATGCAAAGTATCTTAGCAGGCTGTTCTAGAAAGTATTTAAAAATAAGAGGTTATAGAAGTCAGTCATCAAGCTGTTCACACTGTTAACCGATATAACCATATGATGCTATTACTGTTAACCTCATCTTCCCTCCCCTTCTTCCTTCCTAATGTTTGCTATACTCCTTTCTTCTTGTCTTTACTCTAAAAGAACACTCTGGGAAGGGACTGTACTTGCTTTCAAGGCAACACCATAGTGAGGCCCAAGCTTGACTATAGCCTCTGGGGACTGCCACACCAAGGTATACTTACACCTGAGCCCGCATTACAACACGGATTCAGACTTTTTCTTTGCTCTACCGTCCTCTTTGAGACTACGACACACAAGCAAAAACTATTTAACAATGCTCCTGCTGCAGGCTGCTAGCTAGGCTATTCTTTCTCTTTGTCATCCTTAAGACAATGTTGCAAATTCTCTGAACAGTGTTGAACATCAGCATCCATTTCAAACAGCAGACATTTCTGACATTGAGCTGTCTGGCTAGCAGCCTAATTGATAACTTTTGTTAGCACATGCACCGCAGTTCAGATCTAAGAGATGCTCTGTGGGCAACTGCCTGTTTATTTGCTTTCCTAGACACGCGATTGAACCACACTGTACATCCTGTGCTTATGAAATCCCAGCAGGGTTGTATCACAGTACCTACCACTCGAATGTGTGATTTACACCACCTACAAACTGCAACATCTCAAGATAAACCTGCTCCTTATAATGAAGAGATCCAGATAACTGCGGCTCTCACTACCTACAGTGCTTTTTAAGGTCACTGAATTTTAAAATAGCTGGGATTTCAGAGGACACACTGTGAGATATTTTTTTGTAAGACAGGCTGATCTGAGACAGAGTCTCTTGTCCCCTTGCCCATGTCTCACATGCTTGTGCTAAGCACATAAGAAACATGGGATTGCTTCTACACAAAAGTGTGCAGGTCTTTTATTTTCTCATCTTTCTCCAAACCAGTAAGGTGGGAAGCAGTTGCCAAATGAGAAGCATATTAATTAGCTAGTGCTGTGCCCAAGGGAATGAGCTTATGGGAAGCCCAGAGCCAAGGCTGAGCTGGAGAAAGTTTGTTCTGGACTGGTCAAACAAGCTGTTGAAATTTTTGGCCTGGTTATCACAGCTTGCATCTCATGCTCCCTGCTCATGACTGCCCTTCTCCTCCAAAGCTGGGCTGCTTGAGCACTGCTGGCCAGCAGCTCCTGTCCTGCAGCTCCATTGGTGGGACAACACTCCAGGCCAAAAGACCTCCCTGCCCGCACCGAGGGCCTGATCCCTAAGAATTCCGTGGGCTCGTGCTAGGCTCCTTGTCTTTCCTCGTCTTTCCACACAAATCAAGACTGAGAGCAAAGGGGAACCATATGGATTCCCAAAATGAAGCTGCTGAGATCCACTAAGCACTGGCCAAGTGGCTCTGTCCACAAAACATACATGTTGGTGAATCCAAATTCAAGGCGATCCTGTCCCCCAGTTGACAAGTGAGAGTAAACTGGATTTCCTGCATGAACAGCCTTCCATTTTCAAAGGTGACTAATGATTCTGAGCACCCAGCCGGAGTCACCTGGCAGGGCATCTGCTTGGAACACAGGTGAGGCCCAACACTTGTGGAAGTCACATCCTTCAAATATGCCTGCAAGCTGTGATTTTCCAAATGGTCTCTGAAGTGATAGGCCTGATTCAGAGCCCTTTTGACAACCTCAGCTGAGCTTAAATCAAAAAGTCAAACTACTGATTTGCATAGCAAACACAAAAATTTAAATGGTGCAAACCTGGTATTTAAATTTTTCTACCTCAGCTCTGGAAGTGCTTTTATTTGTTACAGGCCAGAAGGTGAGGTCTAGTTCCCTGAGGTAGTGGATGCTTTCAGTTTCCAATAAAATCAATAGGAGTTGTTCACAATCTATGTAAAATACAAACTTTTAGCAGCAGGAAAAAAGTTCAATGCATAAACAATATTTAAAAAAACCTTTAGGCTTATTATCTTTTCTTCCACCAGCTATTCACATGAAGTTCAAGCTGTTGTTTTTGATTGGAATAGTATTCCTGGCCTTTTGAACTGTGGATCATTTATAATTTAAGAAAACAAAATCAATGGTTATTTGTTTTATAATGTACTGCTGTCAGTGATGGAAAGGACTACAATGGTTTCTATGATTATTAATTCTTTGAAATAATATACCTGCTCCAGTATCCAATTAATCTGATTATTAATCAAAGTGCCTTCATTGTCAATTATTAAAAAAGACCAGACACTGCAGATTATTGTGTGCTATATTTTTAGATTTTCCAGTTTGATTCAAAACACACTAAAAGAGGGGCCCCATAAAATAACCATCTAGAGACAGTCCATGGCAAACATCCAGAAACTATTCTTAATGGAATGGAGTTAGCATGAGCTGAGATCATTCTTTAGCCTTGGGAGAAAAAAAAAAAAAAAAAAAAAAAAAAGAGAGAGAGATGTTTTTAGGAAGAGATTTCCAAACGGAATATGAGTTGCTCTTTGCAAACAATACAGAGGATTTCCAGTATGCATTGTGTTTTTGCCGAAAACTGTGCCAATCAAAGTCCTCTTGTATCTAATGAGGAGGGGGAAATCATGATGGGGAAAGTCCCTTAATTACAGGAGACAATAGCTGTTTGTACAGTGACACGTACAGAAAACTTTGTCACTAAGGAATCGCTTGAAACGTGTTTTTATTTATCTCAGACATTATTCATTGAATTAGCATAAGCAGTGAAGCGCATATGTGGGCAAGAAATCTGAAATCTTATTCATGGGACTACTGCAATGTTATTTTCCCCCGTAATTTGGAAAACAGCAGACGTAGAGCTAACATAGTAAAAAAGATGTGGGCTTTGGAACCTCAGCAATCTTTAAATCAATGTAGCATCTGTCCCGGAGTTAGACTGACATGTTATACTAAACACAGACGAAGTTGAAACAGACAGAAGTCTTAATGTAAAAGGATTAGTTTTCAAACTTAGTCTCATAATGGACGATCACACCCGCGCCCCGAAGGGTGTTGTTAAATGAATCCAAAATAGGGATCGTCTTTTTCTGCGGTCTTTATCAGACGTCGGAGCACAGCCCGTGTGGCAGCGCCGTGCGGCAGACCGCTCTTGTCCCCGTGCGCTCTCAGCCGCCTGTCGCCACAGGCTCGCTCAGCTGCCTGGGACTCTGCCAGACCCCACTGCTTCTGTTTGCTAAACAAACGCATCTTACGCACTTCAGCTGCGGATGAAAACAAAATTATGAAACCGGGTTTTTAATGTAAAACTGACTTCTACAAAAAAAAAAAAAAAAAAAAAAAAGAAATATGTTAACAATTCCGCGTGAGGAACCCGAGAGGTCTTCCTAAGAGCTGTGCCTCCAAAGCCCAGCCCCCTGCCCCTGTTATTCACCGTCGGACAAAGAGTTCCCTGCGCCCCGTCCCCGTCCCCAGCCCCGCCCCACGGGCCCCTCAGCCCGCGGCTGTCTGCGGGCCGCGCACGTGCCGCACCCGCGGGCAGCACGAGGCGCGCGTCCCCGCGCGCACTTCCCGCGGGGGGCGCGGCGGGAGGCGGCGGCGGCCGCGGGCCGATCCCCGCGCGCCAGCGGCGGCCCCGCCCCCAATGGCTCCTCCCCCTCCGCCCCTCCGCCCCTCCGCGCGCTGGCGGGGGCGGGACGCGCGAGCGGGCAGAGGGAATCCCTCTGTTTCCCCGGACCGCGCTCCGCTCTCGCGAGACCTGCGCCGCTGTCCGCATGCCGGCCGGCAGCGGGCTCTCGCGAGAGCGGCGCGGTTCCCACGCCCGGGCTGTTGTGTCTGAGGGAGCAGCCCGGGCGCTGAGTGGGCGGCGCGCACCGCCCCCCCCCCGCCCCGCGCGTGTCTCGCGGGCCCGCGCACGCGCGCTCTGGGCCGTGGGGAGGGGGGCGCTCTCGCGAGAGTAGGAGTTTTGGCGAGAGTTTGTGGAAGATGGCGCCTGTTGTGACAGGGTGAGTGCGGGGCGTTCGCGGCGCCCGCCGGAGCCGCCGCCGCCCGCGGCTACCGGGGCGAGGCCGCGCCGCGCCCTCCCGCTCGCTCCTCGGCCGCCGCTCGAGGGAACGGGGCACTGCCCTCCGGACGGCCCGCGGGCGGGCCCTGCGGCGCAAACCTCGTGGGGCTGGGGTCCCGCCGGGTGGGCGCACGGAGGAGGCGCCCCGGGAGCCGGCCCGGCAGCGGCCGCGCTCTCCGGCCGCCCCGCGGCGCGGCAGTCCCGGCGCGGCTGGGCGCTCACTTTGCTCTCCTTCTCTCCGGCACGGACACGCCGGTCGGGACTCCGTGCAGGGTCAGTGCTCATCCCGGCTGCTTCGGAGCGGGTCCCGCTCTGAGGGCTCCCAGGGGAGCGGCGGAGCCCAGCTGGGAGCAGACCAGGGACTGGCACGGGCTCTTCTCCCTTCTCGCTCGCCCTGGCTCGTCCCGCCGTAGGCGTGGGTCCTCCAGGCTCCCCCGGCTACGGACGGGGAGCGCTCGGACAAAGGCGTTTGCTGCTGCGGCTGGAAGTTGAGCGCGGTGCCCAGCGCCCCTCGCACGGCGGGGCCGGCTGGGGCCCGGCCCGGCGCTGTCACTGCCGGCGGAGCGCTCCGGGCGCGCCGGGCGCGGGCGGCTCTACGCCCCTGCTAGCGGGACACCCGTGCCGTCGGGCTGGGCGACCGAGGTTCCCTTTCTCTCCTCTCTGCACACCATTCCCAGGGCTTTGTTGAGTTTTAACTGCCTTCCTTCAAATGCTGCGGTGCAAGGAAGGGTAGCAGCCTCCCTACGCCACTAAGCCACGCTGGATCATAATGAATGGTAGTCTCCATCCCTTTCAACCGCACTGGGTAATACTTAATCATGGCTAGCCAGCTGCAGCATGTGTCACTGTAATAAGTGACACCCTCTTAGCCACCTACAGCTGATGAATAATAACAGATCCACTGCTGGTATACAGTGTGCAATCACACCTGCAGTGTCACATTGCACGTTGCCATCCTTGCCACATCTTGATTGCTGCTGCTGCTTATTTTAAGTGCTGTATCCTTAATTTTGCACTATGCTGAGCAAGTGTGATCTCCCTCTATGTGTTGAGGGAAGAGACAGGAGAAGAGCAGGCTGTATCTGTACTTCACCTGTTCCAAATGAAATTTTGTCTCATTAAAGTATTTCTAGGTCTTTCTAAAAACGTGGAACTTATTTTAAGATTTCGCAGTGTGTCTGTGACCTTCTGTCTTCCCTGTGGGATTACATTGTCTACAACATTGGCTCTGTGGTTAGGTTAGAGAGCAACAGCCTGCTTGGGGGTGGGGTGGAGTTGGTGGTTGATGCTTTTGTTCTCGTGGAGAAGGTAGCATTATGGTATTTTGTTGTTTTGATTAGCTACAGTAGTATTTCCAATTCCTCACTCTTGTTTGTCAAAAGATAAATTGAACCTTTTGCTTGATTTCTTTCCTGTTGAAGGTATCTTGTGGCTCATACACAATTTCCCAATTAAATGTTCTTTAGGGAAGCTAATCTTGTTTGTTAATGATTCCTGGATTGTACTATTTAGAGGTTAGACTTGAAAGAAGGGAACAAATGCTTTTAAAGTTTGCTATAACTATTAGCCTGTGCTATGTTTCTATTAGTTTACTCATCTGAATATTTGGGCTCCATTTCTTTTTGTTTATTGATTATTACAGGATTGTCAGAAGTGATGTCATGTTTGTGACATTAGTTTTATCCTTTTCAGATGTCTGTTAAAATGTTGACAAAACAACTGTGGATTAGTTTAAAAACAGTGATCAAATAATCAGAGCAGTAGAAAAAAAGCCATTTTAATGAGAGTTAAATAATTGTTTGTAGTTTGGGATTTTATTCTACCTTTATTGTTTTAGCCTCTAAGTCAAATAATTATCTGGACAAATAATTTTGTTTTCTTATTGTTAAATACTTGCAATGTAGGTAAGATGAAATATGCTAACTTTTGTTAATGTTGTAGTTATATTATATCAAGGAGCCTGATTTTTAATTTTTTTTATTAAATTACCTGTTTTTGGAATGTGGTTCTGATGCTGTGTGTATTAGGATTAAAAATTGATGATTCTGCAGTAGGTGATTTTTTTTTTTTTTTTCAAAATAGTACAAGAAGTTTTCTTTCTGGGCTGTTCTGTAAAAACTTACTTGGCCGCGGGAAAAAAGTGTTTTAAAAAGCAATAACTAAAGAATGTAATATGCAAATCCTGTGCTGTGTTTGACTAGCATCACATGGGCACTCAAACTTTGAGGTAAAACTTATAGCTCTTTTGCATTCAGTGTTGCTTGAATGAAAAAGGTTGGGTTTTTTTCTTTTCCTGTGAAAACTATGTGCCTAAGCTTAAGTTATGGTACATAGGTTTATGCAGTGTTGGAATGCAATAGCAGGAATTTCCTGCAGCACTTTTGGGGGGCAGTCAGAGTGTGTTCGTGCTTTGTTGTTGGCAGCATGTGGCACACTCGTGCTGCTGCCTCACAAGGAGCCTTCTGATGAAACTTGTGCATATGTACAGTGTGACAAGCTAAACTGCACAGTGTCAGAACCAGATACAGTGAGAAAGTAAACAGAAACATCAGACAAGTAACTTAAAAGGAATTACTATTCACAACTACTGTTTAAAAGAAGTGGATAATTTATGGCTGGGATTATAGGATAGTATTTTTTGGGTTTTGTGAAGTATTTTTGGTTTTGGTTGTGTACAATTTAGGGAAATAGCATTTTAAGATGACAAAATTAATGAAAATGCTTCTTTATTATATTGTGAGTGCAAGCCACTTGTTTTTAAATAATTGCTATACTGCAAAAACACCTGTAGGCATCCATTAGCTTGAAAATTGCTCTGCTAGGTCTAATAAAGCCATATGACATAGAAAATCTCTAGTGCTATGAAATTAATTTTATAATTTTACAGTGACATAAAGTATGGAATGGGATCTTCTTAGTAGCCTGGGACAACCTGATCTTTAAAATACTGGAAGCGAACTCAGAAATAACAGATGGAAATCATAAATAGTAGACATTGTTTTAAGTACTCAATTACCAGTTAAAACCTCTGTAACAGCAGTATACAACATAGCATTTGGATTATTTTTCAAACAGGTTGAGAAGCCTTGGAAAAGCCAAAAATAGTTTGAGTAGGCTTATTGCTGGTATGATGCTGGTTTTCCATAGGCACTGTACAGTAGAAAATTGTTTTAGTCACATTTCTAAGTAACAAGCTGTTCAAGTTCCATGTCTGAATTAGTCATCCTGGAGTTCAGTGGTTATGAGGGGTTTCCTGACCCAGAATGCTTAATGATTTAAGGGTAAGGGAAGACTTAGGAGATGTGTGATGGCACAGGAGAATGTTTGGTATGAGTGCCATGACTTTTAGTATAGTAGTGTAGATGTGACAGCCATTTGGTCATTTTGTTTCTTTGTTTTTAATGAGAAATATGAAAAAAAAAAATTGTAGGAGGTTTTTGAAAGAGAATGCTGCTTCTTGGAGATCTCCCAACCACAAGGGCAAGAGAAAAGAAGTTCAGAGGTGAAAATACAACAATTCACCAGAACTTTAACCTCATCTGCAGCCTGATTAATAATTTTAGAATAAGGACCTTGAACAGTGAGGGTCTTGAAATAGAGAGTGGAGTGGATGCTGCTCGAGAAGTGAGATGAGGAAGAGTTTTTGTGATCTGGCTGTAGGCTAAAAAAGCTATCAAGAGAGAAGTGTCCTTAAGGATCAGACTCGTGGTCATGTGATAAAACTTCAGATACTGGAGGGGTATCTTAGTGATGTGATGGGCATTGCTAGAATCTCTAGAGCAGGTTATTTCTAGGACCTATAAAGAACCTAGGTTTGAGAGCTAATGCTTAGTTAAGTTCAGGACTTGCAGTAGTGGAAAGGAAACTGGAGCACTGGTGGAATGAATAAGACCAGTGTGTTGTCTGTGCTGAGGCTGAGCTGATAGTGAGGCATCAGTGTGGGGAAAGAGAGACTCAAGCTGGGGTGTTGACTTGGACAAACACAAGAGATAGGGAGTAGAATGGATGTTTCTGATTGATGGCAGGTCGTTCATGGTTGAATTTGAATCGTGGCCCTGGATAGAATAAAGACAAATGGAAAGGGATGCAAGACCAAAGCCTATGAAGTGATTCATAAAATAATACAGGTGAATGAGGAGGCTCCTTGAGGAGGAAAGATTGAAAGAACAGAGTGATAAGGGGTGACTCATGAGAACAACAATGCCAAGGGAATGAAGGAGAGTTATTTCTGGAAAAGAACCATTGCTGGTAGACTTGGGTGGTTGACAGGTCAAGGAAGATAACAATGATGTATTGATTCTGAGCCTCATCACAGGGTTAGGCTGCAAGAGGTGTCAGAATGGTTTCAGTGACGTTTATGGAGTGGAAACAGGATGATGTAGGCTATAGGACTAGAATTCATGGATGGGTTCTTCAGGCTACAGTTTTTACTGTCACTGAGGATTTTAACAATGCTTATTAAGATTTGAGTAGTATAACTACACCTATTGTGTTGTGATGAGTGTTAAAGATTGGGAAAAACTCGTTCTCAGTCAAATGAGTAGATGGTTTTGTGTGACTAACATTTTAAATCGTTATCAAGCAGCAAGAGCTGTCAAGTCAGACTATTGGGAAATCCTTCTGAGCACTATATTCTTGAAAGAGTCTTCTGAAATGCTGGCAAATACTCTTTTAAACCTTTTAACCTTCTACTTTCAGTAGAAGCAATTTTATGGAGTTAGGATCTTAATTTTGATTTTATTTGCGTTTGCTGTTTGTTCACTGTATTAAGTAGCTCTTTGTTGTTTT